GATGAGGGAAGTAGTTCTTGTAGTTTGTGTTGGACGGACTGACGTTAGCGTCTGTCGCTGCAGCTGCTTCACTGTCCTCAGTGACCTCTGTAAGGAGGCGTGAGGAGATCAGAAGGTGCTCTGCAGCAGGCAGTGGCAGCCGCAGCCGGCCGGGCACTCGTCCTGCCGGCGGAACCAGTCCATCATGTGACTCGTGTGCCCGCCGTGGCCGCAGCTCAGGCAGAAGTTGGAGGAGCCGCGTACGGCCACGTGACAGATGGCGCACTGGAAGGTCAGACGCTTGCAGACGGCGCACTGCGTACCTCGAGCCTGACTGCGGCAGTGACAGCAGTACACGCCGAACTCTGCAGGAGACAACAGAGCGCAGAGGTCACTGGGCTTTAGAAAGCTACGAGCTAATGGAGCTAACAGAGAATTACTGCAGTCAACAAACTACGAAGGTTAGATTTTTAATGAACTACAAAAGTTTAATCGGCTTTGTAACTGAACATTAACGAACGAAGACGTGGTCGTCTTTCTCCAACATACATTAGCTTAGCATTACTGAGGCTTGCTCAACTGTGATTGGAGCACAGAGGAAAGGGGGCGGGGCTTTATTGTGAGTTAAACATTTATTTGACTTATTTGTGCAGTGCATGCTGGGAGAGCAACGTACCGATGCCTTTGTGGGGTTCAGGAGGACACGAGGCGAACTTCAGCACGTCGGCTCGTTTGTCCCTCAGACCCCAACGGTACAGGATCTCGCCGTAACACTTCTTAAAGTCATCAAACTGCAGCATGTTGGCGGGGTCCAGCAGTCTGTGGGGGGAGTGACATCAGAGTGACATCAGAGTGACATCAGAGTGACATCAGCGCTCTGTCAGTGACACACAAGCCAGTCGCACCAGTTCTCCCACCTCTTGTTCATGTCGTGCTGCTCTCGCTCCCGTTCCCGCGGGTCCGTGTAACCCTGGTTGCCGTAGCGATAGTCGTCAGGAGAGGATTCGCCCCACGGGTTGGCGTGCTCGGAGTCTCTACCTGCGAACAGGAACGAGACGTCTGATTGGCTGCAGAGGAACGGAGCATGTGGGCCTGCGGGTGGCGCCGTGGAGACTCACCTGTGTTCCAGGTGGTTGCGGTGATGGAGTCGGAGGTGCTGGAGCACGAGCCCGAGGTGACGGAGCTCGACGTGTAGCTGGGCTGAGACCGCAATGACATCACTGTCTTATAATAACTTTATTTAAACGTCCGTTAGATCAATAAACTGTAATGAACATATTTATTGTTTGTGTTTATATGTTGTTTATGCTACATGCTATTAGCTTTTTGGTCGATAAAATGTCTGTAAAAATGTAAATAAACAAAAAATAAATAAAAATGTCAGATGTCTTGCAGCAGTACATTAGACCGGCGAGGACTTACGTATCGGTAGTGGTGCGGCGGGAACACGGAGGAGCGTGGCGGGTGATGTCCGTACAGAGAGTAGCAGTCTGGGGGGGGCGGAGCCTGAGCTCTGAACACGCTGCACAGCATAGCCAGAGTCTGGACGTCGCTCATGTGACTGTAGTGATCCACACTGGAAGGTTTCACACACAAACACACACACTGTAGTTTGAACACTGTTCTGTCCCACTGCTCCTGAACACACCTCAAACACACAATGATTCATTGACCCAGAAGTTATTACCATAAAGAATAATGCTAATGCTAATTCCTTTCAAAGAACTTTTAATATATTCTGTCTGTTTACAGGCTTCAGATGTGGTCAGTGCGATCTGAAGACCAGCACCATGAAACAGTTAGTTATATATATATATTATATTATATTATATGTCGTATATCGGACCGTACATCGCAAATAAACTCACAGAGTCTCCAGCAGGTGGCGTCCAAACGGGTGTCTGGCCCAGGGGGTCTCTGTGTCCGGGTCCGAGTCTGGACTCAGGTCCTGACTGGTGGCTGCAGAAGCCAGAGCCCACACCTACACACACACACACACACACACACACACACACACACACACACACACACACACACACACACACACACACACACACACACACACACACACACACACACACACAGAGACACACACACACACACACACACACACACAGAGACACACACACACACACACACACACACACACACACACACACACACACACACACAGACACACACACACACACACACACACACACACACACACACACACAGACACACACACACACACACACACACACACACACACACACACACACACACACACACACACAGAGACACACACACACACACAGACACACACACACACACACACACACACACACACACACACACACACACAGACACACAGAGACACACACAGAGACACACACACACACACACACACACACACACACACACACACACACACACACACACACACACACACACACACACACACACACACACACACACACACACAGACACACACAGACACACACACACACACAGACACACACACACACACACACACACACACACAGACACACACACACACAGACACACACACACACACACACACACACACACACACACACAGACACACACACAGAGACACACACACACACAGACACACACACACACACACACACAGACAAGACACACACACAGACACACACACACACACACACACACACACACGACACACGGGATCAGGCCGCTGTGAGACGAATAAAAGAGGAATATAAACAGATCTTTACCTTCGCCACGTCTCTGCGTCCGACTGCGAGCGCCGCCGCCGCGTTCTTCTGACACGTTTCCTGAATGTCGTTCATGTTCAAACTGAGAAACATGAACACATAAATACTTTACCAGCAGTTTGATTCACTCACACAGTCTCAACACTTCACAGGGACCGACAGTTCACAGCTCTGCTTTCTGTCACTTATCATTCATTATCAATTCATCTTTTCTCAGTGAATCTTTAAAATGTTTCCATCTTCATCTTCTAACTTTCAATGTGCTCAAACATCCGGTGCTCGCTCTCTCACATGTAGCTCTCTCCCAGAGCTTTGTGGACGGGCAGCAGGCACGAGATCTCCTGGATGATCACCTTCCCGGCCAGTTTGATGGGACGGTTGCCGTAGTCCGTTCCCTCTCGCTTCGTCTTAAACCGACGGGATTTCTGACGGACAGACAGACAGACAGACAGACAGACAGACACAGACACAGACAGACAGACACACAGACAGGGGAGGAGGGAGACAGCAGGCCCGGAGGAGACAAAGCACCACCTGATTAAAAGTGGTCCGGACGACAAATTACAGCAAGAGTCCGTTCACACTGCGAGACGCCGACTGTCTGTGGACGTCCATAAAGACCACAGTTCCCCTGGTTGTCTCTTGTCTAACACTTCCTGTTTGTACTGGTTCGCGTTCCCGCTCTGAAGCTTTGGCGTCCGTCTGACTGGACTGGTCTCGCAGTGCGAACACATGGTTAGTGTTCGGTTTATTAACATTGGTAGCTTCAGCGGCCAAATTACCTGAGAAATCTCTAAATGAAATGAAATGGGAAACAAACTAAACAGAGTTGTGACAGGAACAGGAACAGGAACTTACCTGATGAGGTTAAATGTTAGTGAGCAGACAGGAAGTCAGGCAGCGTAGTTCACTGTCCTGAATTTGAATTTGAGCTAATGATGCTAATCGCTGTTGCTAACTCTTTTTAAGAACTAATTTTCTTCACATTTCAGGACATGTTGATTAATCCTCGCCGTAGATCAAACAAACTGATAATCAATAAACTCACTAATAACCAATAAACTCACTAATAACCAATAAACTCACTAATAATCAATAAACTAACTAATAACCAATAAACTCACTAATAACCAATAAACTCACTAATAATCAATAAACTCACTAATAATCAATAAACTAACTAATAACCAATAAACTCACTAATAACCAATAAACTCACTAATAATCAATAAACTCACTAATAACCAATAAACTAACTAATAACCAATAAACTAACTAATAATCAATAAACTCACTAATAACCAATAAACTCACTAATAACCAATAAACTCACTAATAACCAATAAACTAACTAATAACCAATAAACTCACTAATAATCAATAAACTCACTAATAACCAATAAACTCACTAATAACCAATAAACTCACTACTAATCAATAAACTCACTACTAATCAATAAACTCACTAATAATCAATAAACTAACTAATAACCAATAAACTAACTAATAACCAATAAACTCACTAATAATCAATAAACTAACTAATAATCAATAAACTCACTACTAATCAATAAACTCACTACTAATCAATAAACTCACTAATAACCAATAAACTCACTACTAATCAATAAACTCACTAATAATCAATAAACTAACTAATAACCAATAAACTAACTAATAACCAATAAACTCACTAATAATCAATAAACTAACTAATAATCAATAAACTCACTAATAACCAATAAACTCACTAATAATCAATAAACTAACTAATAACCAATAAACTCACTAATAATCAATAAACTCACTAATAACCAATAAACTCACTAATAATCAATAAACTCACTAATAACCAATAAACTCACTAATAACCAATAAACTAACTAATAATCAATAAAGTCCACAATCAAATTCAGAACAGCTGATGTGAGTTCACTCTGTTAGTGGAGGGACGTCAACCAATCAGTGACATGCAAAGAGAAAACAATGTTAGAGTCCCAGCCAGGAGGAAGAGGAGGAGGAGGAGGAGGAGGAAGAGGAGGAGGAGGAGGAGGAGGAGGAGGAGGAGGAAGAAGGAGGAAGAGGAGGAGGAGGAGGAGGAAGAGGAGGAGGAGGAAGAAGAGGAGGAGGAGGAGGAAGAAGAGGAAGAGGAGGAGGAAGAGGAGGAAGAGGAAGAAGAGGAGGAGGAGGAAGAAGAGGAGGAGGAGGAGGAGGAAGAGGAAGAGGAAGAGGAAGAGGAGGAAGAGGAGGAGGAGGAGGAGGAAGAGGAGGAGGAAGAAGAGGAAGAGGAAGAGGAGGAGGAGGAGGAGGAGAGGAAGGAGGGACAGAGCTCAGTACCGGCCAATCATGGAGGGTTTGGACAGACCAGCGGCGAGAGGCAGAGATTGGGAGCTTCTGATTGGAGGAGAATAGAAAGGAGGCGTGGCCCGCAGCAGCACGGGGGCAGGTGATTGGTCAGAGAAAAACAACACAAGAAAACAAAAAAAACAAAAAAACAAATAGAAGCTCATCAGGGAGACGGAGAGGACGTCTGCACCCAGAACCACCACCGTCTGTGAGACTCTACTGGACGGGGAAGGAGGACGCGTCGAGGTAACGAGAGGACCCCTCATTACTCTTCTGTACGTTAATTAATGACTAAACTATTGATGAGGACAAAACATATTGATCTTCTGCGACTCCACAGACGCTCGTATCTACGAGATTATTGTATCTGTGTGTTTGTTGTTGTAATACTCATTTCAGCCACAAGAGGATGTGGTGCATCACTACATGTTTGAAACAGGACTAAAAGCATTTGAAGGAGTTTTAATTTCTCTTTGTGCAGATTAAAATAAACGTCTTTTTACTTGTGTTTAGAGAGTGTGGAGGAATAGCCACAGCTAGCAGTGGAGAACCGACAGTGAAGGAAGAACTATGGTTGTAGGTTCTGCAGACTCATTGTGTGCTCTCACTGTTCGGTTTACTGACCCGTACACACAGTTTTTATTTATTAGTGGTTATCAAATAACAACAGAGACTCTTTAATATCTCTGTCAATCATTTTAAACTGAACTTCTACTTTAAGCTACTTTGATTCTTTGGTTTTGGTCTTTTAGTAGAAAAGACTAAATTATTGATTGATAATAAATAATACAAAATATAGTTTTTATTCACTGATCAGAGCTCAGATTTGTTTTGTGCTCACAGTAGTTTTGTCTTTAATGAACTTCCATACAGCAGAGAGTTAGTGTGTGTGTGTGTGTGTGTGTCTCACCCTCTCTTTGTAGTAGAAGGACGAGATGGAGACAGTGTCTTTGTCGGAGCGAGTCGGGCTGCCGCTGTACAACCGCAGAGTGCTCTGAGACTCTGAACGCATCTTCATCGGAGTCAGCACTCCGCTGTGATAGGCCGACAGAGCGGACAGCGACCTGAACACACACACACACACACACACACACACACACACACACACACACACACACACACACACACACACACACACACACACACACACACACACACGCACGCACACACGCACACACAAACACACACAAACACACGCACACACACGCACACACAAACACACACAAACACACACACACACACACACACACGTAAACACACCTCCAGTCTTATTGTTCCTATATTTAACAATGTATGATAAAAAGAACGCGGCTCAGCAGCCTCTCAGTGGACACAACCTCAGAGACAGACAGACAGACAGACAGACAGACAGACAGACATTTACTTGTTGCTAAAAGAAGCTAACTGTTGCTAACGGTAACGTTAGTCCAAAGTGTCCGACTGTCTTATGTGACAGTGAAGTTGACCTTGGATGACAGGAACCTTTATACTGAGCACTTCTGGTTCCATATGAAGATCCTGTTTCCTACCTGGGAGTGGGCTCGGTGGGCGGGGCAGAGCGGTGCATGGTGATTGGTCGGGTGAAGTAAACCAGACAGCCGGTGCCACAGAAACGGGCTCCGGAGGTCCGAGGGAACGGGATGTTGGCGTCCTGGAGAAAAGAGAGTGAGTGGAGCTCTTCCTCTGCTCGTACCGTCAGCCTACCTGCTTCCTGTCACACTGTTACCTGGTAGGAGCCGTACGTGTTGGTGACTCGAGGAAACGCCTGCAGGGCCGGAGTGACGGGGTTGGACAGGACGAAGGGACCGGAGGGCGGACCGTCCTCCTGCGTCTGAGGGAGGACACACATTATGTAAACTGTTGACCTTTGACCCTGCAGCGGTCGAGTGTCACAACTGCAGTTCATCACCGTGACTACGTACTGATACTGAAACTAAATATTACAGGAAATGTAAAACTTATTCTAAATTAATTTCAGATGATCTCACAGTTAAAGTATTTTCATTGGACACTTTGCAGCCGCGGTCCTGTGACACTGGCGGTTGAGCTCGTCTCACGCCACCCGCTGCCGGAGCTGAGCACAGAAACTTCTGACAACTACAATGGATGAGACTGATCCTCGCTGATCGTCTGAACTACAGGAGTGCAGGAAGGGATCGGGATGGAAATCTGCCTCATTACAATCTGACATTTCTCACCATGTCGGACTCCAGACAGGAAACCAGCTGCCGGACACACGGCTCCAGACAGTTCTGGTTCCTCTTCACCTTCTGAAGAGACGTGTCGGTCAGAATCTGAAAACACAAATTCAATTCAATTTTATTTGTATAGCGCCAATTCATAACAGAAGTTATCTCAGGACACTTTTCAAATAGAGCAGGTCTAGACCGAACTCTTTAAAACATTAATTACAGAGACCCAACAGTACCACCATGAGCAAGACCTTGGAGACAAGGGCAAGGAAACACTGCCTGTTAAAAGGCAGAAACCTAGGACAGATCCTCCGGCTCTAGGTGGGTGGGAGAGAGAGAGAGACACAGAGCGAGAGACAGAGAGAGAGAGAGAGACAGACAGACAGACAGACAGACAGACAGACAGACAGACAGACGCACAGCAACAACAGTAGCAACAACTACACTAATAGTAGTGACTGATGGCGATGACGACAACAACAACGATGGGGGACAATGAGCAGTGACAATAGTAATAATAATATTAATAATAGTTTCTGGATCTTTTCCTGTTTTCAGCATTTTTCTTTTTTTCTACAGCAACAAAACTAAATCTGTTTTTTATGTTTATTTTGTCAACCAATCAGAAGGCGAGCTGAGAACTGAATGAGGGTTTTGTTGTGGTGCGTTCAGGAGCGTGTGTACCTTCTGGATCTTGGTCTTCATGGCGGAGGGGATGGTCGTCGGGGAGACGAACTGGAAGGTGGGCGCGGCGTTGTTGGGATACTGGGCGGGAAACTTCACCACCAGGTGAACCTGATGGCTGCCGAAGTGAGCCGACACCACGCAGCTGCGGTTCACCGCGTCCATCTGCATGGCACAAAGCACGCAGTGTGACCTCACTTCCTGTTTGACTGTTTTCCATCTGCATATTGATTATGTTACTTATTATTATATTACTGACTTTAAGCTGTTTTATGTAAAACAGCTGCTTTTATTTGAGATGTGTAGAATGGACTGATTAAAACTGACGACCATATAATTAGACTCAATGATCTACGGCTGATAATAATCCCAGAAGGAGCAGAATAACATTTATTAAATATGATGAATGAAACATCCCAGAGGTCCTGTGAACGTCTCACCTCCACGTTGACGTTTCTGATCTGTAGGTTGACCAGAGAGAACTCCTGCTGCAGAGTCTGAGGGAGACCTGAACCCACCGCCGGGTCCTGACGACCTCCAGAGTCCTGGTCTGAGGCGACAGGAAGAGGACAGGTGAGACTCATAAGCCCCGCCCCCTTCTGCTCTGTGCTCCAATCACAGTTGAGCAAGCCTCAGTCAGAACTTCCTGTTCTTAGATATGCTATATGCTAAGCTAATCTACGTTGGAAAGACAACCACACTTTGAAGATGGTTAAAAGATAAAAGAGACATACAGTATATACAGTCACGTCTTAAATTAACTAATGTTAGCAACGACTGATAGTAAGGGACACAGCTGAAGTCTTTATGAGCATCATATTTAGTTTTATAGTTTTATAGTTTTAAATAAAGATTCATCAGCTGTTGTTATTAACACGTGTTCAGTGTTTGTTTACATTCAAACTCACCCTGCAGGTTTTCTGCAGCCGGACCGACGCCGTGCTGACTGTCGGGCCCCTGAGACGACAGAGACTTCTCCGACTCCACGGTGAGAGACATCCCCTCCATCAGGTCCTCCACCCCGTCACTGACACACAGCTACACCACAACAACAACATCAACAACAACAACAACATCAACAACAACAACAACATCAACAACGACACACAGACATCAGGAGGAGGCTGCACACTAACCTTCTGTAGCTGAGGATCCACCCTCCAAATCCTCAGAGTCTGGTCTCTGGACCACGTGACCAGCTGGTAGTCCTTAGAGCCTGAATAAACAACAACAAGAAAACACTGTAAACAACAACAAACACTTTAAAACTACTACAGAACCGATTCCAAACTGCACTTCCTGATAACTTTTAAGGGACGGCGTATTTGGTCCATTGTAGGTAGGGGGGGGGGGGGGGGGGGGGGGGGGGGGGGGGGGGGGGGGGGGGGGGGGGGGGGGGGGGGGGGGGGGAGGGGGGGGGGGAAATGGAGGAAGAAAATTTAAATAAAAAAAATATTTATTTTTTTTTAAGAGCTTCTATGAACATAATCAGAATCAGAAATACTTTAATAATCCCAGGGGGAAATTAATAACACTTGTTTTATGGGATTATTACTCCTCCCGTGGCTCTGTAATAATAATAATAATAACTTTTTACCAATGACGTGAACAAAATGAATATGACAATACTGTAATATAATACTGTATCAATATTTCAATCTAAAACAGACATCAAGGAAATACTGTAACAGACAGAAAAGCTGATTTTAGATAGAAATATTAAATTCATATGAAAACATGAGCTTGGTATCAGTGTCAGAAAGGAAAAAGTGATATTGAAATGTCTCTGTCAGATTTTAATTAAAATATTCAAAACAACATGTTAAAGCCACTGTTTAGCCTAGCTTAGCACAAAGACTGGAAGCAGGGGGAAACTGTTAGCGTCGCTACATCAAAAGATTAAAAACCCACTCGGAAATCTCTGATTGTCACCTTCTTTCTGCGGCCTCCACTGGAACTCGAGCACTACGTCATCGTGTCCGACGAAGGCGTGGACGGGACTGTTGAGGTCGAGCGTGCTCCACAGTAACAGACTGTTCTCCCTCCTCAGCTGAGGAACCATCACTGTGACCAGACCGTTAGAGAACGGCTGAGAACACACACACATTATTATTCCATCACAGATCATCAATCATCAATAAGTGAGTTAGTGAGTCAGTAAACTGGTCAGGGGGACGTTCTGTATGTAGCTTTTATCTGTACAAACATACTGTATGTTCTCAAATAACAGCCCGGGCTCTAATACAGGCCTGTTATATAATGTGTCTGCGTACATTTCCATCACTTTCATTTAGTGAAGGTGACAGTAGCTACATCTGAAGTGCTGTACGGTAACTGTTAGTCACTGAATCTTTTAGAGAAAGGTTCCTGCAAGTATTTCAAAATAAAAGCCTTGTTAGGAAATGAAGGGATTCTGTCCCCTGAAAACTCTTCTAGAACAATATTTAATTTAATTTTTGATACACAGATATTCTTAACTGTTACAATATAGATTCAGACAGAAAAATGATAATCTGTTGATTTGTATTGGTCCAGTTTTGCCATTGTGCAGACCTAAGAGACATTTTATAATGTGTTCCTTTTGGATGAAATAATAATTAATTATTTATTAACATTGTATGATACAGAACTATATCAAATGTTTGGTACCATTGGATTCAGTTTCAATGAAATGTGCTTTGATTCAGTGTAAATCTGATATTTGGCGTTATTTGAATGTTATGTTATTTTCGTATAAAGAAAATCAACTTTATCTGCTAATAACGGCATCATAGATATGTTGAAATCAAAAAACTAGATTTTGTCAAGTGTAGCCACAAGATTTTACAGTTTCCACAATAGATTTTGTGTTTCCATGTCCAAACATACTAACATATAAACATATCAACATATCAACATACTAACATACTAACATATCAACATATCAACATACTAACATATAACATACTAACATATCAACATACTAACATATCAACATACTAACATATCAACATATAAACATACTAACATACTAACATATCAACATATAAACATAATAACATACTAACATACTAACATATAAACATACTAACATATAAACATAGAAAATGCAGTCGTCAGCATAATGCAGTAACAAATACTTAGTGTATCAGAACAGAATAGAGCTTCATACTAAATATGACCAAATATATTTATCAAACAACAGGAATTAAAAATAAAGCCTGTCTCTAATAAAGGCCTGGGGGTAAATAAAGGCCCCGGCCACTATTTGAGACGTGAACAGTACGTGTTCAGTCTGATCTCAGGCGTTGACACTCACCGTGTACCTGGCCTTCCACACCGGCACCTGACAGGACAGGATGTTCAGGTACTTCCTGGGCTGTCGGTAATCCCAAAACTGAACACAGACAGACCACACGGGAGAAAATACACAAGTTATTGAAATCTGAGGAATCATTTTTGTGAGAAATGAATCACGTTTTTTTGCTGAATGTGCTCGAAAGCTCATGAAAGTGTCCCATCAGTTACAACTGATATGGGTCCCTCGCAGTGTGTTTCACCTACATGTACCAAAATCAGTTGGCACACGAATCACATCCAGGCGTACGAAAAAGCAGTTTTAATAACCCGACTGTGTGAGTGTCTGTTGTCCTCACCCTCACTGAGTTGTCCTGGCTCGACGTGGCGAGGATGAACTCGTTGTCTGGATGCCAGTCAAGGCCGTGGATCTTCGACAGGTGAGCCGCCACGTACTCCGCCGCTGTGTTCGGCTTCTGGTCGGAGAAAAATCACACGAACATTTAACACCGCTGGCGCTCACGTACAGCTCACTGTGCGGCTTAGATAACGCATCTACTCACTCTTTTATCCCAGATTCGCACGTCCCCGTCGTGACTGGACGCCAGCAGGTACTGGTTCTTCCTGTTCCACTTCACCTGAGACGCCCCGGCTGGAAACACGAGAGAGAGACAGGTGGGAGATCAATACGCAAACTGATGGACAGGAATAATACACAGTTTGGTCCTTTAAATACTCACCCACAGCGGACAGCGCCACCGTCGGTTTACGGGTGTCTCTGTGGAGTCAAACAGAAACTATATGAAGGGTTTACAAACTGAACGTCTTTATGTTTAATTAATGATACAAACCCGTACAAACAACCTGTAGATGACAGTTTTAGTTCCTGAAGTAAATATTTAAAGATTTGGACCAATGTGGATGAAGAAAATAACGTTTGTTACATATTTCATGTTTCAGGAGACAGAACGTCCTCAAACCACCTGATGAGTCACTGTTTCCTCTCACCTGGTGTCCCAGATGTAGATGTATGTGTCCACTGAGCTGGTGACCAGGAACTCCGGTTCAAACCAGGACCAGTCCAGATCACTGAGGACACAAACGCATCACAATGAGTCAACGAACGCATCGCAGTGAGTCCACGAACGCATCGCAGTGAGTCCACGAACGCATCGCAGTGAGTCCACAAACACAGCGCAGTGAGTCCAGAGAGGTGTGTTTGATTTGTTACCTGATGACTCTGGTGTGTCCCTGCAGAGAGGTGTGAACTTCTCCACAGCCGTCCCTCCACGAGTACAGATCCACACGCTGGTTACTCTGCGCACACACACACACACACACACACACACACACACACACACACACACACACACACACACAGAAACTGTTTTCTTTCTGTCTGTTTAGGATCAGATGTTGTTTAGGATCAGATGTTTAGGATCAGATGTTGTTTAGGATCAGATGTTGTTTAGGATCAGATGTTGTTTAGGATCAGATGTTGTTTAGGATCAGATGTTGTTTAGGATCAGATGTTGTTTAGGATCAGATGTTTAGGATCAGATGTTGTTTAGGATCAGATGTTCAGGACTCACCGAGGCAGCGAAGACGTGGGACTCAGACCGGTGCGGGTTCCACTGGACCGTCCCAACGTCCCACTTACTCTGTCGGCCGATCTTCCTCGGAGGTTCGGACGGAGCCTCCAGGTTCACCATGTACAGGAAACGCCGCCTTTCAAAACAAGAGAGCAGGAAACAGTTTGTTCTTTCAGTCTGTCAGAATAAAGGTCTGGTTTCATCTTCAATCTGCAGAACTACAACAAAGATCTTCTCCTGCACAGACGCTTCCTGTCCCAGCACCAACACACTGTCGGTCTTCAGCCAATCACTGCAGAGCTCACAGGCTAATTTGCATAAAGTTGAGATTGTTTAACTTTAAATTAGGTTTCTGTGTCACCTGGAATCCCACAATGCTTTGCAAATTGCACTGAAAATGTACAGTGGGAACTTCAGCAACTCCGTGCTGCGTTCACTGTCAGAGTGGTTGATTAAGTTTGTTACCGTGACTTTAACCTGCAGCTCTGAGTCAGTTTGAACTGCGGTGCGTTCAGGGGAACTGAACTTACCCGGAAAGCACGGCGTGCGAGCCCAGGCAGTCCACTGACATGGCGGTGGCCTGAAGAAAAAACAGAAGAAGAAGCGAAGGTGACGATCTGAAAGGAAGCAGACTGATATTGATTATGTTTAATTCTCTAGTGACACAAACTGATACGGAGAGATTTTAATATCAGTTTATATCTCAATAATAATAATAATAATAATAATAATATATATTTTTATATTCGTCATTAAATCATCATCACTCTGATTTTGGAACATTAGTTTTATTTACTCAGAACAAATGGCCTTTCATAAAGTTTCCAGTTATTGACGATAGTGATTATTATCAGTATCAATGAATCATTTTCTCTATTGATCGATCAGTTGTTTGATTCATTAAATGTGAGAAAAAAATGGTAAAAAATGTCGATCACAAGGAAACATTCAGTTTACTTTCATTAAAGAAACCAAAATATTCAATCTGAAATCAATAAATGACTCAAAACGATTGATCGATTAGGTTTTTGAACAGCTCCTGGAAACTGAGTTCTTTACCCAGAACTTACAGAACTTCAGACATACTTTAATTGATTTAAATTGATCTGCAACAACTTAAATAATCGATTATTAATTGACCTGATGTCTCATTCTCTGGTGCCTTCAGGGTTTCTCGGATTTTCTGCTTTTCTGTTTCATGTCATTGAAAAACTGAAAATATTCAGTGTGAAAGAAAACATTGAAATCTGTCTGGAGGTTTAACTGTAAAGGTCTGTCAGACTTCAATAATCAATAAATCAATAAAGTGATCAATACCGAGTCTGTAGAGTAAAAGCTGCAGGTAAAGAATTAGTTCTAATGTATTGATTATTGGTCCAGTAATCAATCACTCTATAATCTTGTTCCTTATGTTTCCTCGTCCTTCAACAACTTAAACGATTATTCGAACATTAGAATCGATTAACTGGCTGAAACCTCAAATTAAAGAGAGTATTGATTAGTATGGCGGTAGATCGGACTGTGTTTCAGTCTGTTAAACTCTCCTCCACCTGTCCACCTGTCCACCTGTCAGTCACTTCATTCAGGAGCTTTCGGGCAGAAATACCTGAGCATCCCGAAACTCCACCACCACATTCTCACTGCTCCAGCGGGCCGCCATCTTCCTCCTTCTTCTACCGTCAACAAAACGTCACGTGATCGTGATGGGATGTGACGTTCACTGTCCCCGGGAGAAACGGGACCGAGCGATGAAAGACGCGATTCTGTTAGAAATACCAAAGACTACAGATCCTTTAAAATTAATTTAACCTTTTAAAAAATATCTCAATGTGACAATACACAAAAATAATGTGTTTTAATGACAATACAGCTTAAAAATACAACGTAAATAAAGTAATTAATCTAATAAAATATAAATAAAGCACAAATATCAAACTTACAAACATGACAGCAACAGAGACGTCAAATATTTGAAATATTTAGACCACAAAAAGCGATATTAATATAATAAAATCACCTTTAAACGTTTTTAAAGGAAGAAATTAACCGTTAGTTTAAAATCTCCGACCAGAACGAGGCTTCGTTGAGTTCTCTACGTCACGAGCCTGCTTCCTCTCCTCTGATTGGTCGGTGCAGTCGCTGGTCATCACCCAACATGGCGCCGACGCTGGTAGAGCATGTTGTCGCAGACGCGGGAGCGTTTTTAAAGAAAGCTCATCTCCAGGTCGGACTTTACTCATCTTTATAATCTCTATTCATCTCTATCTCTAGTCATCTCTATCTCTATTAACGCGCTCATTAAAGGCAGGTCACCGACGGGAGCCGGTAGAGACCAGTGCTGTCAGAGGAACTGATGCTAAGCTAACTGTGGTGGAGGCCCGCAGCTGCGCACTTAAACGGAGACATTAATAATATTTATTAAGAGTTAATCACACTAATATCTAATCTAACTAATATTAAATACTGTTTATTAAGAGTTAATCACACTAATATCTAATCAGACTAATATTAAACACTGTTTATTAAGAGTTAATCACACTAATATCTAATCTAACTAATATTAAACACTGTTTATTAAGAGTTAATCACACTAATATCTAATCTAACTAATATTAAATAATATTTATTAAGAGTTAATCACACTAATATCTAATCAAACTAATATTAAATAATATTTATTAAGAGTTAATCACACTAATATCTAATCTAACTAATATTAAACACTGTTTATTAAGAGTTAATCACACTAATATCTAATCAGACTAATATTAAACACTGTTTATTAAGAGTTAATCACACTAATATCTAATCTAACTAATATTAAACACTGTTTATTAAGAGTTAATCACACTAATATCTAATCAGACTAATATTAAACACTGTTTATTAAGAGTTAATCACATTAATATCTAATCTAACTAATATTAAACAGTTTATTAAGAGTTAATCACACTAATATCTAATCTAACTAATATTAAATAATGTTTATTAAGAGTTAATCACACTAATATCTAATCTAACTAATATTAAATAATATTTATTAAGAGTTAATCACACTAATATCTAATCTAACTAATATTAAATACTGTTTATTAAGAGTTAATCACACTAATATCTTATCTAACTAATATTAAATAATATTTATTAAGAGTTAATCACACTAATATCTAATCTAACTAATATTAAACACTGTTTATTAAGAGTTAATCACACTAATATCTAATCAGACTAATATTAAACACTGTTTATTAAGAGTTAATCACATTAATATCTAATCTAACTAATATTAAACACTGTTTATTAAGAGTTAATCACACTAATATCTAATCAGACTAATATTAAACACTGTTTATTAAGAGTTAATCACATTAATATCTAATCTAACTAATATTAAACAGTTTATTAAGAGTTAATCACATTAATATCTAATCTAACTAATATTAAATAATATTTATTAAGAGTTAATCACATTAATATCTTATCTAACTAATATTAAATAATATTTATTAAGAGTTAATCACACTAATATCTAATCTAACTAATATTAAACACTGTTTATTAAGAGTTAATCACACTAATATCTAATCTAACTAATATTAAACACTGTTTATTAAGAGTTAATCACATTAATATCTAATCTAACTAATATTAAACACTGTTTATTAAGAGTTAATCACATTAATATCTTATCAAACTGACGACATATTATTATTGTTATAACATATAATATAAACCTCCTTTTATAATGACGGGCTTATTGTACTATAGTCTATTAATATATTTAATTAACTAACTAATGTTATTCCAAAATCATGTCATTTTAACTTCTGATTTAAAATCAATAACAATATTTAAATACTGAAATATCTTTAACACAGTTTAATCTTTAATCAATATCTGTGATAAAGTGCTGTAAGTAAATACAGTTTTTAGTCACATGTTCAGCTTTAATGTCGTATATTGTGGCTACTGTAAACACACAAATACTGTATTGATTTAAACAACAAACAAACAACATGCTGATAATCGATAATCGATCCTTAAAACTCTCCAAAAGAACAAAAAGGCGCCACAAGATAAGTTCACATTAAACATTATATAAAACAAAGTCATAACAAACCTTGTGCCGTTATCAGCTGGGTGCTACACAAATAAAATATCGATTATTGACGTCAGACAGAGCTACCGGACACCCTTTCAAAATAAAAGCTCCAACCTTAATATCAAAATAATAGGCCCGATGAAAACTTAACAATAACTCTAAAAGGATTAATACAAATAAAAAAATAGCAACTTCTTGAAACATGCTGGACCATATTAAAGGTAATTTACATTCACAGGTGAATGATGTTACTGATCAGGTCAGAGCTGTACACACGTATTTATCTGACTAATGAATGAATGAACGTCAATATAAAAACAAGAGGCGGAGCTAACAGACTCATTACTAATGACAGTGTACTGATACACACATTATACACCTGTAGGGACAGGTGAGCAGTGTGTTTAAAGAGGTCCACTGGTCTCCTGAGTCCTGAACTGTTGGTTGTGGGTTTGTGCTGCAGGACATCGGCAGGAACATCTACACACTGAAGGACGTGGTGGACGAGATCAGAGACAAACCCACCAGGAGGAGTCTGGCCTTCCTGCCGTACCAGCTGAACTTTAAAGAACCACATCCAGAACACAT